TACCCCTTGCCCTCTCCCCCAAGCCACTCCACCTTAGATGACAAGTATCTTTCCTTCTCCAATGTATTCACAGTTGATAATGAATTACAATTCAGTTGCCGGTGAATGGGTGGTGCTCATAGGTAGTTGGTGTGATGGGTAACAGTGGTTGAACTGAGTNCTTCTCCAATGTATTCACAGTTGATAATGAATTACAATTCAGTTGCCGGTGAATGGGTGGTGCTCATAGGTAGTTGGTGTGATGGGTAACAGTGGTTGAACTGAGTCTGAGTATGTGTGTAGTGTGGTGTTTGCTTGGTAGTGCACTGTGATGGTACTAGTGGTGTTACAGTGTTGGGGTTTGAAGGTGTGGATTATTGTTGTGGGTGGTGGTGGCGGCAAATTTCGGTATGGACAAAAATTGGGCAGAAATTAATTTTGTTTTTTTTGTTCCTGATTTCCACTTCACTTGATGATGAGAGTAATGGTGATTGGATCTTGATAAACCCAAAATTAATTGGGCTAGGCCCAATTAATCAGGAGAGACCCACATCATCTGGGAGCCCAAATCAACAAGTCAAAGAGGTGCCCAAGTTAACAAGTTAAGGAGGAGTCCAAGGGGTGCCGCCCAAGGGGGCTACCCAAAAAGCGCTGCCCAAGGGGGCGACCCAAAGGGACATCGCCCAAGGGAGGCCACCCGAAGGGGTTCTTTTCCCTCCTTTGTCCCATGTTCCCTCTCCGGCACAAACTCGTTGAGTCGTTCGCCCTCTTGACTCTGTCACTCCAATACAAGTCCAGCACCCACCAACTCAAGTCCAAGCCCAGAATCCTCCAACGACTGCATAGGAGCACGAGAGAGAAAATATCGGAATACGCACGGAGATCTAATCTTACCTTAATTGTACTTATAAAAATAGTAGAAGCTCTCTCCCTCATGTCACCACCTTACCACCTTACCAAACCTATATAAATGTAAACCCTTTCATAAAGGGCATCACATTCAGACCTCACATATCCCTTTACACACATAGTATTTTTCTCTCTCCTAAGCATTATAATACACCCAGAGTTACTCTCTCGATTACATTAATCATCAATAAAGATCTCCGGCCACCACTGCCATTCCCGAGAGTGGAGTAGGTCACCCGGACCAAACCACTATAAATCTTTTGTGTTTGCTATTGTTCGTTGTTTTGTCATTAATTATTTATTTAATGCTCATTAATTGCACCCTTATACATTCTTGACTATTGATTTTGCACAATACCGATTTGTGCATCATCAGTTTAGCGTCGTCCGTGGGAAACGACTAGTTTTTCTACACTCTTAATCCATGGCAATCACGAAGAGATCAATGAGCTAACAGCTAGGAGATAACAACCCGACCCACTGGGAGGAGGCTCCGCTTCCCCTCGCACCCTCGGAACCACCCGCTACTGCAACTAGACAACAGTTTTTACAAACTATACAACTGCTGGTAAAACAAAATCAACAGATCATTCAGTTGATGCTCACCCAAAGAGGCGCCACCCCTCACACTGTAGGAGGAGCCCCATTCCCACCAACAAGAAAGGAGCAACAACCCATCCTTTCTGGGCGTCAGGCAACCCGTCACCATGGGGGTCCTCGCCAGAATGACCAAAGGCCACACCAAGGCGCCTTTCACCCAGCAGGCCCTCAATGCGTAGGGAGCTCACGTGTTCCCCTTCCTTATGTACCTATGCAGGAGGATGAAGACGAAGGAGAGAGCCAATATGACGATCATGAAAGCCAGTATCACCACCCAACGAAGGACGTCGCCAACCATGGGACAAGAAAATCAGAGAGGTGCAAAACCAACTTGGTAATGCCCTCAACGCCATCAAGACACAGGCGTCCAAGACGGTGGACTACCTGGTAAGACGTATTGATACACCCTTTGTTGCTGATATAGTCAACTATCCCTTACCATGAGAGTTCAAGATGCCCATCATCGAAATCTTCGACAGTACCAAGGACCCCCTCGACCATCTTGACACATATAAATCTCTCATGCAACTCTACAACGTGTATGAGGAGATTATGTGTAGAACCTTTCTTACCACCTTGAAGGGATCTGCTCGTCAATGGTTCACAAAGATCAAACCCTCCTCCATCCATTCTTTCACAGAACTGAGTAGATCCTCCGTCTCCCACTTCATTGGGGGACGCCGACATTAGAAACCTGTGACTCACCTGCTCACCATCAAACAAGACAGGGATGAAAGCCTCAGAGACTACCTTACTCATTTTAACGAGGAGACCCTCTAGATTGAGGAGCTAGATGATAAGCTATCCCTGGCCGCCTTTATCGTTGATCTTCGTTCCTCCAGCTTTATGTTCTCTGTTCTCAAGAAGGCGCCCTCCAGCATGTCCAACTTGTTGTCTAGGGCACAGAAATACATGAACACCTAGGACATCACCAAAGCCCGTAGAGGTAAGTCCTCCCGAGGAGGAGAGAAGAAGGACACCCGTGAGGACAGATGGAAATGAAGAGCAAAAAGAATAAGACTGAGAGAATTTCTGTCAAGGACCGCCTTGGCCCCCACCTCTGAGAGAGCGGCAAGCCTTCACGTCTCTCAATGCTTCCGTGGAGCATATTCTGTTCCAAATACAGGATGATCCTATAGTACGTTGGCTAGAGAAGAAGAAGACCCCTCGAACTGAAGGAGTCTAAACAAGTATTGTCGTTTCCACCGCGACCACAACCATGATACTGATGACTACTTTGATCTTAAAAGGCAGATCGAGGAGCTTATACAGTGTGGCCAGTTAAGGCAGTACGTTGTTGGCAGAGGACAAACCCCGCCACCTGGTCGGGACAAAAACGATAGAGAATGCCAGCAACTCCTCGGAGAAATCCAGACGATCTCTTAAGGGCTAGGTGGAAGAGTTGACTCGAACTCCGTCAATAAAGCCTTGACCTACCTATAGGACATTAAACACCTGAAAATTTTATCTATCCTTTATTGTTTTAGTTAATTTCTTTTGCTATTTATCATTTTATGAAATAAAAACTCTACAAAAATTATTGTGTCCGAATTGTTTTGTTTTCCTAAAATTTACAAACAGCCTACAAAAGCTAGAACATGACCTAACAATAAGGTAGGCAAAAAGACGAAAGACGCCCATCGCCAAGCGCCCAGCAGCACACCCACATCATCAGGCACCAATCATCAGAGGGGTCTTGCCCTCTCCACCTTGGGTGTCTCCCATGATGCCGCCTAGATGAGGGGTCTCACCCTCTCCACCTTAGGAGCCTCCTATGATGCCGCCTAGACGATGGGTCTCGTCCCTTCTCACCAGGCACCCAACACTGAGCTTCCAACCTCAGGCACCCAGCTCCTTAGCACCCTCCTTATCTACATCTCAATAGAATTATGACAAGCATCTCCCGAGACTATACGTAGCTCGGCCTCAGCTCTTGCGCCACTCTCATAGGACATTTATAGCTATGACTCTGTTCTCGTGCAAATAGTCACCTAGTAAGCCTCTGCTACTGCAACCATCTCCTGAGACTATACGTAGCTTGGTCTTAGCTCCTACGGCCCTCTCGCGAGATGTTTGTAGCTATGACTCTACTCTCGTACAAGTAGTCACATAATAAGCCTCTGCCACGACAGTTATCTCCCGAGACTATATGTAGCTTGACCTTAGCTCATGCGACCCTCTCACGGGACATCCACATCTTTGATTTCGCTCTCATGCAAACAGCCTGCCTCTCTCTCCGGATTGACATCGAGCCACTACTAGAAGCAGGGTAGCAAGGTGAAGCTACAATCCCTGTAAAAATTGCACTAAAGTCTCAACTACTACAATGGTATAAGGGTTAGCTCTAGTATACACATAAGTCCCAGTCTAGAAAGAAATGGGGCCACCACTGGGTCCTATCTCCAGGAAAGCAACCTAGCCATCGAACCTTGATCGAGAAACATTGGGGCATCAAACCTCGCCTTCTTGAGAGGAGAAAAATACACCACCCTAAAAGTAGAGAGAGTCTCCAGATCAACAGAGCACTTATAATTAGAGATAAGGTTAGTTAGTAACCAAGTACTAGAGAGGCGCCGCCTTTAGCAAGACTCAAGGCGTCGCCCAAACACAGTAACACCCAAGGCGCTATCCAGCCCCCTGACGTCACTCAAAACACCCTACCACCCTCCAGGTAGAGCCCACGACAACCTCCACCCTCGCCCATGAATGCTTGACAGCTACTTGCCAGAATGCAGCTTTCCCATCACCATTGGTTTCACCAATTTGTGCTTAAAACTCAAAAACAAAGAGATAGAAGCATTTTTTTGGAAAAATTTACTGACCTTCGGCTGTTTGTATGTCGTAGATCTCAAAAAAAAAAAAACCCGAATTCAAAAAACAAAATTTGCCTCAAATGGACAATTGAGCACAAATTTATGGTCGATCAATTTTTTGTTGATTTTTTTATACTTTAGCCATCGCCCAGTGTCCTTTGGGTGCCACCCAAGCTAGCACACAGCCCAGGTGCCCAATAGTCCCTCTCACTTGCCCAACAGCTCCCTCTCTCGCCCAAGGGTCATCGAAGAGGAGTTTCCGAAGGGGAGGCAAATAAAAAATAAAAAGAGGGGCTCAAGGGAGGCCAGCGCCCAAAGCAAAAAAAAAAAAAAAAGTGAGGCTAGCACCCAAGAGGTCAGCGCCCAAGGAAGAAGAAAAAAAAGAAAGAAGTGAGGATAGTGCCCAAGAGGCCAGCTCTAAGAAAAAAAAAAGAAAAAAAAAGAGGGGGCGTTGCCCAAAGGCCCTCGCCCAGAATAGTCTGGGCCCTCGCTCATGCCAGCCAGTGCCTNGGATAGTGCCCAAGAGGCCAGCTCTAAGAAAAAAAAAAGAAAAAAAAAGAGGGGGCGTTGCCCAAAGGCCCTCGCCCAGAATAGTCTGGGCCCTCGCTCATGCCAGCCAGTGCCTTCTCCCAGCTGTCCACTTGATCACCCAACGGCTTGGCACTGCCCAGGCTATCTTTCATGCACCTAGCGCCTTTATCAGCTAAGTTGCCTAATCTCCAAAGGTGCTCCAATATTGATCACCACAGTGACATGACCATGGGCAAGGGTGCCTTCATGCCTCGCCTTCAAGTAACTCATGGGTCATCCGTAGAATCTCCCATGTATCCACCTAGAACGAATGGAAAGATGAAGACTATAGACACCATGGAGAACAAGGAATAAGAGCTCTCTCATGCCCTCAAAATCTTTGACATAGTAGGCGTGGGGGCCAAATGATGAACCCAAAATTAACTGGGTCAGACCTAATTAATCAGGAGAGGCCCACATCACCTCGGAGCCCAAGTCAGGAAGACAAGGAGGAGCCCAAGTCAACAAGTCAAAGAGGAGTCCAAGGGGGACATCCTCATGGGGACACCCCAAGGGGCGTTGCCCAAGGGCTACCCCAACAGGATCTTTTCCCTCATTTGTCCTATACTCCCTCTCTTGCGTAATCTCGTGGAGTACTTCGCCCTCTTGACTCTGTCACTCAATTCCAACACCCACCAATTCAAGTCCAAGCCCAGGATCCTCCTCTGACAGAATAGGAGTACGAGGGAGAGAATATCAGAATACGCACGAAGATCTAATCTTACCTTAATTGTACTTACCAAAATAATAGAAGTCTTCTCCCTTACATCACCACCTTACCAAATCCTATATAAATGTAAGCTCTCTCCACATGAGGGCCATCACATTCAAACCTCACATATCCCTTTAAACACATAGTCTCTCTCTCTCATAGGCATTGTAATACACTCAGAGTTACTCTCCCAGTTACATTAATCATCAATAAAGATCTCCGACCACCGCTGTCGTTCCTGATAGTGGAGTAAGTCACCTAGATCGAACCACTATAAATCTTTGTATTTGCTATTATTCGTTGTTTTTCCATTAATTGCATGTTTATTGGTCATTAATTGCACCATTAGACATTCTTGACTGTTGATTTTGCGCAATACCGATTTGTTCATCTGTAGATCCAGCTGAATTGAAATTGGTGTTATTTGATGAAAAGTGAGTTGCACTTTCAGCTACTTTGGATTTTTCATATTTTTTTTCTATTTTCAGTCGAATTAAAATTTGGACTCTGCATATTGCCTCCGATTCGAACTTGATTTTTTTTATGATAGTGAGTTGATGGAGATTTGTGATAATAGGTAAGTGGTTGTGGGCAGCGGCTGCTGGTGGTGAAAGTTGTACAGTTCCTAGTGGTGACTGTTTGGTGCGAGAAAAATGAAAAATAAAATAAGGGATAACAAAGAGGGGTTGTTTGGCTAGCAGTGTAAGATTTTCCTTGGGACAGATAATTGGTGATGGAGATAGGGATCACCTGGAATATTTAAAGGCAAATTAAAAACTAATTAAATGGATAAGACAAATCTGATGGTCAAGCTCCAACTACAATGACATACACTAATAGGTCTCCCACAGTCCATGCATTTATTGACCCAGTGGAAGGTCTATTATTGTGGTTGTTACTTTTCTTTAAAATGGGGAATTATGTTTTGTACCCTAAGAAATTTTTGCATTTTTAATTTGCACCTTAAAAGATTATATTCTCATATTACACCCTTAATCAATCAAAAAAGGCAGCATTGTGCTCCATTTTAAAGAAAATTAAGTAAAAAATTTAAACTGAAAACTTCAAATTGAATATTATACAAATGATTGTGCATAGACGGGATAATATGATAAGTACAACAAAAAAACTTATTAGAAAAGGTAACTGATGGGACATTTTCTATGATCAAGGGGGACGAGGTACGAGTCCTCGACATATTAGTCGCGGAGTGTTCTTTGGACGACACGTGTCCTTGGCACCTCAGAGCTTCCTGCAAGTGACACGTCATCTCGGCACTAATGGTACCTCGGAGTCCACTAAGGGTACTTCGGAGTCCACTAAGGGTACCTCAGAGTCCACTTAAGGCACCTCGGAGCCCTCCACTAAAGATACCTCAGAGTCCAAGACATGTTGTCCTTGGAGTCCGCGACATATTGTCCGCGGAGTACTCTCCACCTGACATGTCATCTCGGCGTTAAGGCACCTCGGAGTCTTCATCACGTACCACGTATCCTCGGTTCCAAAGGCTATTGATTGACAATTGGTCACTTTTAGAACTAGACTAGGGATCATGAGGGTACTCTTCCCAACAAGGTCAGAATGGCAGAATGAACAAGACACCCCACCAAGAGAAATCAGACACGTGGCGTGAAGTACAAGTTAGGGTGAATGGACAAAAATGTCCCTACTGACATGCAGCTATTTCAGGCAAGCATTTAATAAAGTCAGTTGATAGGACATCCATGATGGCTCTGGAAGCCTACAAGAAGGAGCATTAAATGCTCTAAAGCCAAGCATTTAATAACGGGGGCTCCCCCATGCAAAGTAGGAGGCGCACTGTCCCATGTTTAGGTACTACCTACTGCCTAGACCATCAGTAATGATGGGTCTTTGGAGATATAAATAGTCTTCAAAAATACTTTTCAAAGGCACACAAAATCATCTCTCAAGAACCCCAAACAATACTTTCTTCTTCCCCTCTCTCAAAGAACTGACTTGATCGTCGGAGGAGATACNGAACCCCAAACAATACTTTCTTCTTCCCCTCTCTCAAAGAACTGACTTGATCGTCGGAGGAGATACGCTGGAAAATACTCCGGCGTCCTTCTAACCTGTTTTCTGTTTTTCAGGAATCCCTTGCGAAGCCACCAGAATTGGTTTAGCAATCCCAAGAACAATTCATCACCACTCCTTAGGCCCTATTTGGCCCTCTCGACTCATTCCTTATTTTCAGATCCACCATCCCGTCGGGTCGAATCTCATCATAGGAGAGATCTGTTCTCATTTCAACTATTGTGCAAAAAAATACCCGCACAATCTGGTGCCATCTATGGGAAATGACNTTATTTTCAGATCCACCATCCCGTCGGGTCGAATCTCATCATAGGAGAGATCTGTTCTCATTTCAACTATTGTGCAAAAAAATACCCGCACAATCTGGTGCCATCTATGGGAAATGACCAAATTTTTTAAGGAACATTGACCATGGTGAATACTCGTCAAAAGGGAAAGGGTCATCAACAAAGGAATGTCGATTTACCGGCTCCCTCCATTTCAAGAATCAAAGACCGTATCAAAAGTGTGAATAAGGAACTTTCGAATCATTCTAGGGAGAAAAATCGTCAAACTAGTATGGTAATTGGGGCCATAAAATCAACCCCCTTGGCTCGTCAACTGGCTGACGTGATCGGGAAAAAATTCAGGGATCGACTACGACAACTAGAGGATGACAACGTCAACGTCCTAAATCGGCTCGACGGATTTGCGCTCTCCGGTGGAGGATCTTGAAGATCACAGCAGTCACGGAAGCCCTTCGTCAAGGAGGTGGCGATTTGAAGAATCGCCCAAGTGAAGGAGCAAAGAGCTCCAACGCTCCGAAACGCCCGAGAGACTANTCTTGAAGATCACAGCAGTCACGGAAGCCCTTCGTCAAGGAGGTGGCGATTTGAAGAATCGCCCAAGTGAAGGAGCAGAGAGCTCCAAGGCTCTGAAACGCCCGAGGGACAAGGGGTAACTTTTGGAGGTTCTAGCCAAGACTAGAACATTGGCTCGGAGTGACTTCCGTCAGGAGCTATCTGGGCGAGGAGGCGTGGAGGAGTCCAAGGAAGGGCTTACCCTCTCTGTCGACACCCTAAAACTAGGGGGCATGCTGACCAACGCCAAAAAGGTGGAGAAATATCTCCCAGGCAAAGGGAAGACTATAGAATACGTTTGGATCCTATTAGAAGGGATAAGGCCCCCCTAGAGGATAACATTGACGACAAAGCTATCCAGTCGCCCTTCACTATGCATCATCATGGAGATCGAGGTGCCAAAAAATTTTGTGGTGCCGAGATTTAAAGTTTATGATAGACGCTCCGACCCGGTGGCTCAGCTTAGACATTACAAGTAGATGATGTCCCTCTACCACTTAGATCACCAGCTGGTATGCCGAGTGTTTTCGATGAGCCTAGGGGACACAACCATGAAATGGTTCGAGACCCTTCCACCAAATAACATAGAGTCCTGAAGGGAGTTGACCAAAAAGTTCTCCGCAAGGTTCATTACAGGGAGCAAGCACCCCAAGGATGTTGGATCGTTGCTGACCCTCCGTCGGAAGGAAGGCGAAACACTCTGCCAGTATGTCACACGCTATTGGGANGGTCACTTTTAGAACTAGACTAGGGATCATGAGGGTACTCTTCCCAACAAGGTCAGAATGACAGAATGAACAAGACACCCCACCAAGAGAAATCAGACACGTGGCGTGAAGTACAAGTTAGGGTGAATGGACAAAAATGTCCCTACTGACATGCAGCTATTTCAAGCAAGCATTTAATAAAGTCAGTTGATAGGACATCCATGATGGCTCTGGAAGCCTACAAGAAGGAGCATTAAATGCTCTAAAGCCAAGCATTTAATAACGGGGGCTCCCCCATGCAAAGTAGGAGGCGCACTGTCCCATGTTTAGGTACTACCTACTGCCTAGACCATCAGTAATGATGGGTCTTTGGAGATATAAATAGTCTTCAAAAATACTTTTCAAAGGCACACAAAATCATCTCTCAAGAACCCCAAACAATACTTTCTTCTTCCCCTCTCTCAAAGAACTGACTTGATCGTCAGAGGAGATACGCTGGAAAATACTCCGGCGCCCTTCTAACTTGTTTTCTGTTTTTCAGGAATCCCTTGCTAAGCCACCAGAATTGGTTCAGCAATCCCAAGAACAATTCATCACCACTCCTTAGGCCCTATTTGGCCCTCTCGACTCATTCCTTGTTTTCAGATCCACCATCCCGTCGGGTCGAATCTCATCGTAGGAGAGATCTGTTTTCATTTCAACTATTGTGCAAAAAAATACCTGCACAATCTGGTGCCATCTATGGGAAATGACCAAATTTTTTAAGGAACATTGACCATGGTGAATACTCGTCAAAAGGGAAAGGGTCATCAACAAAGGAATGTCGATTTACCGGCTCCCTCCATTTCAAGAATCAAAGACCGTATCAAAAGTGCGAATAAGGAACTTTCGAATCATTCTAGGGAGAAAAATCGTCAAACTAGTATGGTAATTGGGGCCATAAAATCAACCCCCTTGGCTCGTCAACTGGCTGACGTGATCGGGAAAAAATTCAGGGATCGACTACGACAACTAGAGGATGACAACATCAACGTCCTAAATCGGCTCGACGGATTTGCGCTCTCCGGTGGAGGATCTTGAAGATCACAGCAGTCACGGAAGCCCTTCGTCAAGGAGGTGGCGATTTGAAGAATCGCCCAAGTGAAGGAGCAAAGAGCTCCAACGCTCCGAAACGCCCGAGAGACTAGGGGTAACTTTTGGAGGTTCTAGCCAAGACTAGAACATTGGCTCGGAGTGACTTCCGTCAGGAGCTATCTGGGCGAGGAGGCGTGGAGGAGTCCAAGGAAGGGCTTACCCTCTCCGTCGACACCCTAAAACTAGGGGGCATGCTGACCAACGCCAAAAAGGTGGAGAAATATCTCCCAGGCAAAGGGAAGACTATAGAATACGTTTGGATCCTATTAGAAGGGATAAGGCCCCCCTAGAGGATAACATTGACGACAAAGCTATCCAGTCGCCCTTCACTATGCATCATCATGGAGATCGAGGTGCCAAAAAATTTTGTGGTGCCGAGATTTAAAGTTTATGATAGACGCTCCGACCCGGTGGCTCAGCTTAGACATTACAAGTAGATGATGTCCCTCTACCACTTAGATCACCAGCTGCTATGCCGAGTGTTTTCGATGAGCCTAGGGGACACAACCATGAAATGGTTCGAGACCCTTCCACCAAATAACATAGAGTCCTAAAGGGAGTTGACCAAAAAGTTCTCCGCAAGGTTCATTACAGGGAGCAAGCACCCCAAAGATGTTGGATCGTTGCTGACCCTCCGTCGGAAGGAAGGCGAAACACTCTGCCAGTATGTCACACGCTATTGGAAAGAAGTGAACAAGGTGGAGGGATGCTTAGGGGTCATGGCTACGTCCTCTTTCAGACTTGGACTCTTTAGGGACATCGACCTTTACAAGTCCTTAACAAAGAACACGCTAGCGGATATGGGCGAGTTGATGGTTCGAATCAATAAAGTACTCCAAGATAGAAGATAGGACCCAATTGAGAAAGACCATATAAAGTCACATCAATGGGAGGCTCTGGGTCATACAAGCTAAGAGGATTTGGAAGAAAATATTGCACTTTGGCCTTGGAATGTAATGAATTTGAAGAAGTATCATTTTTGAGAAAAAGATATTTATTTCCACTAAGTGTGCTGTCCTGGAAGGGGCATGGCTCCGGAGACAAAGTTTTCAAGAAAGATTATTGCCTCCAAAGAGACAAAAGGAACGAAGTCTCCTAGAAGGGGCATGGCCCCCAACGGCCAAGTTTTCAAGGAAGATTCTTGCTTTCAAAGAAACAAAAGGAACAAAACCTCTTGGAAAGGGCATGGCCCTAGGGGCAGAATCTCAGGGTCTCCTACCTCCGAATAAAAAATGGGAGCAAGCCTCCTGGAAAGAGCACGGCCTTGGGGACAGAGTCTCAGGGACTCCTACCTCCGAATAAGAAATTGCAGCAAGCCTCCTGGAAAGGGCATGGTCCTAGGGGCAAAGTCTTAGGGACTCCTGCCTCCAAATAAATAATAGGAGCATGCATCCTAGAAGGGGCATGACTTTGTAAGCAGAGTCTTAGGGACTCCTACCTTCAAATAAAGAAATAGGAGCATGGCCTTTTGAAGGGAGCAGATATCTCGAGGAAAAGCACCCAAAAGTTGACAGAATTCCTCTCATCAAATATATTGCTTGGAATAAAGGTACGTTGTCCGAACAATATATCCTCTTGTCCAAGCACCATGATAACCCCTCCTCTAGGAGTTAGGGGGACCAGAAGAATGGCTAACATCTAATGTGGGTGCAATTACCTATAATGGTTACTCACGAAAGCTCAAAATCGATTAGGTTTGATAAAGTGAAGGCCACAACACTAGAGCATTGGCGAGAAAACGGAAACACGAAGGAACAGAACATTCAAGTCCTTTCATTTTCATCCTCCATGTCATACAGTCAATATGGAGATAAAGGGCTGGGGGTAGTTGATGGGACATTTTCTGTTATCAAGGGGGACGAGGCACGTGTTCTTGACATATTAGTCGCGGAGTGTTCTTTGGACGACACGTTTCCTCGGCACCTCAGAGCTTCCTACAAGTGACACGTCATCTCGGCACTAAGGGTACCTCGGAGTTCACTAAGGGTACTTCAGAGTCCACTAAGGGTTCCTCGGAGCCCTCCACTAAGGGTACTTCAGAGTCCACTATAGGCACCTCGGAGCCCTCCACTAAAGGTACCTCAGAGTCCAAGACATGTTGTCCTTGGAGTCTGCGACATATTGTTTGCGGAGTACTCTCCACCTGACACATTATATCAGCGTTAAGGCACCTCGGAGTCTTCATCATGTACCACGTATCCTCAACTCCAAAGGATACTGATTGACAACTGGTCACTTTTACAACTAGACTAGGGATCATGAGGGTACTCTTCTCAACTAGGTCAGAATGACAAAATGAACAAGACACTCCACCAAGAGGAGTCAGACACGTGGTGTGAAGTACAAGCTGGGGGTGAATGGACAAAAATGCCCCTGTTGACATGTAGTTATTTCAGGCAAGCATTTAATAAAGTCAGTTGATGGGACATCCATGATGGCTCTGGAAGCTTACAAGAAGGAGTATTAAATGCTCCAAACTCGAACATTTAATAACGGGGCCTCCCCCATGCAAAGTAGGAGGTGCATTGTCCCATGTTTGGGTACTACCTACTGCCTAGACCATTAGTAATGATGGGTCTTTGAAGATATAAATAGTCTTCAAAAATACTTTGCAAAGGTACGCAAAATCATCTCTCAAGAACCTCAAACAATGTTTTTTTCTTCCCCTCTCTTAAAGAACTGACTTGATCGTCGGAGAGGATACGCCGAAAAACACTCCGGCGCCTTTCTAACCTGTTGTATGTTTTCCAAGAATCCCTTGGGAAGCCACCAGAATCGGTTCAGCGGTCCCAAGAACAATTCATCACCACTCTTTAGGTCTTCTTTGGTCCTTGTGACTCATTCCTTATTGTCGGATCCACCATCCCGACGGGTCGGATCTCACAATGGAAGAGATATATTCTCATTTCAACTATTGTGCAAAGAAACGCCCGCACAGTAACGAATTCTCAATAGTGGACTACAGTGCCCTATTAGTCAATCCTAACAATGTATATCGATTAGGCCAAAATTCCCTTGTCTCTTAATGAAACCCTTAGTGCTCAGGTTCTCATAAACTAAAAATGCAATAACTGTATATATAAATAAAAGCAAGTAAAATTATCATAAGTTAACATATTGTGTAAAATTATGATCCTTAAATGAAATCAAGTCAAATCACCTACTCTCTATTTATTACCAAAAGAGAAAAAAAAAATAGAAATAAAGAAAGAAGGAAAGAAACTAAGTCTATGTAGAACAGATGTTCATGAGTTAAGCCAGCTTACCAATGAAATCTATGATGAGAAGGCCATTAGACCAGCGACCAGTGGGTTCGCCGTGAAAGCTTTCGCCGTAGGGCAGGTGGGCAGCGGCCATTGTTTCTTCGGTGGTGCCTTCACGAATAAGGTTCCCTGTATCAGACAATGAATCTCCCAACTGGTATATATATTCAAATGGGTATATTTTTTCTTGGGCTTCACATGAAAGCAGGACGACAGAAAAAACTATGGGTACAAGATAGCATATTGCAGAAGCCATGTTTAGAGATTTAGAAAGAGAGAGAGAGAGAAGGCTAAATATTTGAATTGTAAAATAAGATCACAAGAGTGAGGAGCAATAGAATTTCTGAGATACTCGGCCTCAAGTTTTAGAATACTAAAGAGCAGCTACCATCTTTCCTCAATTTATCTTCTTGATATAACTCCTATCGTTTGGTTAAAAAAAATTAATAAATTATATTTTGGAAAGAGAAAATTATATTTTTACCCCCTCAACTATGAATTTTTTTCATATTATCCTCTTAATTATCATATTTTTTATATGACGCCCTCAACTATGTGATTTATTTCACATTGTTCCGACACGTTGGTAATTTTCTTCCAAAAAAGATAGTGGAAGTATGCGATTGAAGCAATGTAAAATAATTTAAGTAGTTAAGAGAGTAATATAAAAAAAATTAATAATTTAAAGGACAAAGTAAATTTGCATCCCTAATTTAGGGAATCAAAGTCTAATTTGTCCTTTAAAAAAAAAAAAAAAGATGCCAAGGTCACCTAATGCTGTCTCCATTGTCAAGTCAAGTCAAGTCACTGACAGCAACTCCCTCTCTCTCTTTCTCCCTCTCCATTTAATGCGCAGGTACGTCATAAATTGATCATGAGATTAATTTTAAGTTTATTTTTGTCAAAATTCATGCCTAAAATAAGTGTGAAGTTGAAAACTAAAGAAGGGAAAGACAAACAGAACCCAAATATAGAAGCCTTTTCAATGATTCGCAAAAATTATCTAACATGATTGTACACTTAATAATTTGATCATGTCATACCATTTGGTAAAAACTGGCTTAATAGCACTCAACGTTCGCAATGTCTCGATCTCTTTTTCAAGGAGAAACTAAGTTGTGCATAAGGTGCAGTGGAATGATTTTGTATGCTTTATGTCTAAATTATAATCTACAAAATCATGTGGTGTGTCGCTAAATGATCTCACGCTTCGAAAAGCATTCTCTATTAAAAACATTGAGTTGATGTTAAGTAACAATACATGAGTTTTTATCATCCATATTTAATTGATTATCTATATTACTAATAAAAGTATCTTACATAAAAAAAATTTAATATATTATTTTACTCTTATAAAAAACTATAAAGACTTCCATGTACTTTTCTATTTAAATATGTAGATTATCATTATATTCCTTTATATTTAAATAACAAACTAACCTCTAACATATTATATAAATCTCTATATTTACAAAACTTTTAAATTATCATGTTACTCTTAACAGAATATATAAAAATATTAATTTATTTTTTCCCAAATCCCAATATTAATAAACATTGACAATTTAATTGCACGTGATGCATTGTTGGTTACTTGTAAATGTACACATAAGAAAATTTTTTTGATTCATTATTTTTTCTTTCTTAAAAAGAATAAAAGCAACCACATCCTTTGTCTTTAACTATCTCATATCACTTATGTGCGCGCTGATTTTCGCACAACAGTAGAAGTAGGAATAGATCTCTCCCACGATGAACTGTGGTTCGACAATACAGTAATTCCAACAAAATGGAAGGTTTGTTTTCAGAATCTCTGGTCGCCTCCGGTAGGGTTTTGACCCATCCCAAAGTGGGTTTTGGCAGCAAGAAGTAGGTTGAGAGGGATAAAGGAGCCCTAAGGACTGGTGCTGAATTGTTTGTTGGGTCACCTAATCGGTCCTGGACGACTATAGGGGGATCCTGTGATACAGAAAAACAGGTTAGAAGGGTGCTGGAGTGCTCTCCGACGTATCCCCTCCACCAATCAAGTCAGTTCTTTGAGACAGGGGAAGAAGAAAGCACTGTGGTTCCTTTCAGGAGTTCTTGCGTACCTTTGCAATATATTTTTGAGGACTATTTATACCTTCAAAAGCTCATCACTGCTGATAATATAGCTAGTAGGCAATCATTAGAGATGGGGCAGTATTCCCCATTTCCTTTAATGGGAAATGCATTTAGCCTTAACTGCTCGGGACGTCGAGCAATTGATGCTTTCCCCTCGGCTTGTCGAGTATTCAATGCCCTTCCCTCGACGAGGGAGTATTAAATGCCCAGGCATTGGAGCATTTAATGCCCTTCACTTCTCGGCCCCCATGCCTTAATTGTTGTCCCATCAGGAAAGAGATTCATTAAATGCATACTTGCTCTAGTCATGTGTCAGCAGGGGTACCGAAGTCTTTTTGCTACTGATTTGATATCAAATTCCACGCTTCCACTCTTTATTGGTTGCGTGTTTTGCATCTCTGCTCCTCCTGACACCATTGAGCAGAGCGTCTTCATGATGATTTGCCTAGCCTGCCCCAGGCTAGCCATCAGTCAATCATTATCTTTCGTAGAAGTAGAGAGAAGGTTGGATTCAGCCTACAAAAGGAACACTTCAGCACTAAGGAACATTTGTCTATATCGGGGTCAAGGGTTTTGCCGTGCCGAGCCGAGGACACGTGTGTTGACCACTCTGATGGGGGGATCCCTTAGCTCTGAGCATTATGGCCTCGGCCGATGGGGAAGAGTGTCGCCGAGGACTCGTGGCCATTCCTGGCTGGAAACATAACGATGCCGAGAACACGTGTCGCCGATCTATCTTTTTCCAGAAATGTTCCATCAACTACCCCCTAGCCCTTTGATATTCTGGCGTAGGGGAGACATGTCATTAGAAGGCAAAGGGTTACACAAGTGCCCCAACCACCTTATCATTGCTCCCAGTCATTTTTCGTTGCTTTGGAGATTGTGCACATTAACTACGCCTCTTAGTGTTTCGTGCACAATGATAGGGATATTTACTATACAAACTGAATGCCCCCTCTCTCCCATAATTTAGTTCGTGTGAAGAAACTTACAAGAGCTCTCGCCAGAAAACTCCTCAGAGAACCAGCTTGCACCACCGCCCTTCCAGCCATCACCGGAGCAAACACACTTGCGCCACTACTTGCCACCAGACTTTCGACGACGAAACAAGTCCGTCTTAAGCTTTCAGACCCTTCCCTTAGCTTTTTGATGAGTCCTTGCTTCCTTTTTCTTCCCTTTCCTTCTTCCTTCTGGTTTTTCCGGTGATCAGTGGTCTTCCTAGTCCCATTAAACTCTCCAGTGGTTTGAAAAAAAACTCCTTAGGACTTTTTAGGAGGAAAACCCTCATTCCCTTTGTAGAGATGCCTAGGGCCCGCCCCGACACCGAGATCCAAAGTGTTGGTCCCTTAAGGCCAGGAAAATATAAAGTCAAGGGGGATCAGCAGATAGAGAGTTTTAGAGCCCATTATTGCATACCCAGTAACGTCGGTATAGAGGATTTTGACCCTATCCAGCACAATTGTAATGTCGGGACCGAGGACGCGATGCATTTCTACGCCAAGGCTATCATAGAGGGTGGGATAAGATTCTCTATGCCCTCTTTACTCCAATTCCTTTCTCAGTTCCATCTTATCCCCGGGCAATGTTGCCTGAATGTCTTTAGGATAGTAATGGGGGTCATAGAACTCAATAGTAATCTCGGGGTCAACCTTGGTTTCGCTGACATTCTCTTCTACTATTCTTTGCTGAGGGTGATGCCCTAGCAAAACTTCTACCTTAAGGCTAGGGATCCTTCCATGTATCTAATGACCCACCTTCCTGACTCAAACAAGGGGTACAAGGACGACCTATTGGTCTTCAGCAGGGCTTGGGAGAGAGGAACTGGGCCTAAGTATGCTGGTCTGAGGTGCCCCCTGCAGTGGAGAACGACAAGTATGTCGGCCTCTTTGCGCCTTTTTTGTCTATCTTCTTTAAATGTCTTGCTAATTTTTAACGAGATACTTTCTTATTTGCGTAGACGTCTTTGCTCGCGAAGTTGTTCCTCCTTCCGGGCGCTCGGTGAATTTTCACGACCTTGCCATTGTTTGGGGACACATTGGCGCCGACGATTTTGGCCGAGCTGGGCATATCCTCTTGGGTTACACGCCAGGATACAAGAAATTCTCTCAGCTTCCTCAACCCTTCGACATCTCACGGTGGTCTGAGCTCTTCGACCATGCAGCGCAACAAGACTTTAAGTAGAACTTGGAGAGAGATCCTAATAAAGCCACCTAGGCGAAAGTTGAGGGTGTCGCTGAAGTAGAAAAAATTGGGTCAGGGAGTCTTCTGTACCTGCATACACCGAGGTTGGTACTTTGGGAAGGGTGACGGGGTCCAACATCAACGTCCTTCGATCTTTAGACATTGAGGACGAGCTAGAGGAAGCCATGTCACCCCCACAAATTGATCTGAACTTCCTACGACGGAGGCAATCACTTGTTGCCGGGAGGGACAGGGGATAAACCAGTAGTGCGCCCCCATCTTCTTTTGGGAGTAGCAACATCGTCCCTCCATCACCAATGCCCACCAGTCGAGGTCAGGTGAGCGACAGGGACCCTCTCATAAAGGAGGAGAGGAAAGTCAAACAAAGGCACGACGCCCAAGGTTGGGGTAGGCCCCCCTCCCTTTTGCAGCAAGGTGGAAGGTGCCATGGGAGGGGCCCCCTTCCCCAGCCACAGACCCACCAACAACAACAGCAACAATAGCAGACACAAACTCCATCTCCCCCTCCGCCGATGGAGGATGCGGCAGAGTGGAATCCCCGGGCAATTGACCATATGAACAGGGTCATCTGGGGGTTAACGACTCTATGTCTCAGGATCCTCATGTGGCCTAAGCAGAGAGCGAGACGTTCCACTTTGGGGCTGACATGAAGGCTCATCGGGAAAGGACTACAAAATCCTTGTTCAGCTCAATCATCCAAAACTCCTTGGTGGTAAGTTTTACCTTCTATTTGTTTTCTCTCATGTTTGAATAATTGTGACTATGATTTAACTAAGTCTCTTTCCTCACAGGCCACCCAACAAATTTTGGTGATCGTTGTACGCTACCATGGGGCGAGGATGAATTTGCAACAGGTCGAGGAAGAGAAGAAGAAGACAGAAAAAGCTCTTGTCATCGCCAAGGAGGACGTGGTTGCCAGAGACATCACCTTGGCGGCCCAGGCAGCCCAAA